TCCTGGTATCCAAAGATAAAGTGAACTAGGCTACCTAGGTTTTAACTTATATGGCATAGTTAGAAACGGGCTTCTGGTGTGTCTCTGTGCCTTTAAGGTGGTTGAGCTACCTCCTGGCAAGCCTGCACCCAATTCATCCTTTGCTTATATATGTGATCCAAGATGGAGAATCTAATAGGTTAGAGTTAGGACCACACCACACAGAGGCAGTGTGGCTTCCACATATTTTGCAACTAAAACTAGTAGTCAAACAGTGTGCGAGTTGGTGAGTGTACTGGAAAATGTTTGTTTTTGTACATTGTAAAGCCCTTCCACGTGCACCTTGCTTTAACGTTAGTTATGAATTGATGAGTGTGTTTGCAATTAGTTTCACTACTTGAAAACCAGGCAAATTGCTTTGTCTATACAGTGTGACTGCGCTGGGAAAGGCGGTCCAGCACATTGCACCTGGCATGAACGTGCTCTAATAGAGGTTTAAAAAATCCCTATTTGTCTGGGACTCCACCATGTAAAAACATGGAGAACCTCACCTTCGACAGTCAATGGCACATGAACTAAAGACTAATTAGTGGAATTCCCTTACAGAACTGTGAATTTTTATGCTCACCCTGTAACCAAACATTTCCCGAGCAGTGTCACTACAGCACTCTGTCCTGTGCAAACCCAGGGGCAGTGGTAAGAGAAACCTGGCTACAATAAAGAAGAAGGACTGAGCTCTGGAAACTTTATCAGAAAAAAAAAAAAGACTGGCAAAGTCCAAAATAGTAATTAGCAGTATTGCATGTGGTCTCCCTGCAGCTGCCATTTCCCCCCATCAATGACTTACCATGCCTTGTTCTGCAACGTGCCCCTGGGTGAAAATTGGTGGAGGCAGGGCTTCCTTATTTCATAGCCCCCAGCAAGAGGTACAGTAAGTAAAACAGTACTGACATAACCAAATCTCACTTCAAATCGTGTAAGACTAGCAGTCAGAGGCAGCAACACCTTTGATCTCAAACTTCAGATATACAACTATGAGGCTGTATGCACAGAAGTGCCTAGGCACCCTCACATACCAGTAATTGCACAGAAGTGCCTAGGCACCCTCACATACCAGTAATTGCACTGTTATTTTTTCAGGAGGAATTCAAAAAGGTGTACATTTTTTAGAGTACTGCTAAATCACAATTAACATTTCTAAACATTCTCTATAACATAGTAAATCTTCACCTTTTCAGATCAGATCCACTTTAAGGGGTCTGGAAATCAGAAAAAGTTAAAGCTGCATCAAAGAAATGCTGCTTTGTTTCACAGCAGTCAGCCTGACTGGCCTATTGGTAAAACATATTTTTTATGTTCACCCAAAAGACCCAGTGCCAAAGCACAAGATGAACAACATTGTGTATGCAGTCCGGTGCATGGAGGAGTGCTCAGAATTGTATGTCGGTGAAACATAACAGCAGCTACAGCAGCGTATGGCACAGCATAGAAGAGCAAAACCCTCTGGTCAGGATTCGGCAGTATACCTACATCTAAAAGGAAAGAGGTCACTCCTCTGAAGACAGTCAAGTACGCATCCTCGACAGGGAGGAGGACTGGTTTAAAAGAGGTGTGAAAGGGGCCATTTATGTAAAAATGGAGAAGCCAAGCTTGAACAGTGGTGTTGGGGGGTGTTAGACATCTATTGCCTGCCACATACAATGCTGTTTTAACACCTCTCTCTGGGCAGGTTAATAACACCTCCTAGCTCCAATTATGCAAATCAACACCTGGTTGTGACTAACAGATTATGTGGATTGGAGCAACATTCACCATATTTATTCCCAGATAACTTTTTGTACAAGTCATTCTGAATTGAGAAAGCTGGTTGGATGGCCAGTGAAACGTCTTCAAGAAAAATACAGCAAGTCCAGTTGTACATTACAGCAAGACCAGATATACATTTGTTTTGCCTCAACATATCCCTAAAGACTAGATTTACATCCATGCATTTTAATGCACATTTGAAATCATGAAACTATGTGTCAATGTTTCTGTCAGCCCCCATAACAGGGAACGTTAACAAACGATAATCGACAAACACTGCAAAGTGCATTGTAACGTGCGTCAATGTGCATTTTCTTTCATTTCCATTGATTTTAAGGAATACTGCAAGTGCCCTAAAACAGAGGTGGTAATCCAACCTAAATTCTATCTCATGGCAGTTTTAAACCTGCCACATGTTAGAATCTGTACAATCTCTGTACAATATCTTTTAGATTAATGAACAAAAATGATGTGCTAGTAAATATGTAAAAATCCATGCAACTTATATCCAATCAGGCATTCCCTCCTATTAAAAGATTAAAGGAGAGCCTTCAATCAAATTATAACAAGTGTGTCTAGCATAATCGTTTGTAGTTGCATTAAGGCCTTGTTCACACCATATACAGTACGTTCCAGGGCAGTAAGCTGCTGAAACGCACTGCATCGCATAGTAAACTCCCCCCCCCCCCCCCCAGAACATGGGCACAACAGTGCAGGCATTCTGGTCCAGTGCTATCGGGAAAAATGCTGCACGCACTATTTTTTCGGTCGCACTGGACCAGAACGCAGGTATTGTTGTGCCCGTGTCCTGGTGTGGGCAATCACACTGTGGGCGGGGGACGTGGTTGGGGTGCCATTGACTTCAATGCAGAAACTCTGCCCCAGAACGCAGGGGAGAGTTTACCATGCGACAGTGCGTTTCAGAAGCTAACCATGCTGGAACACACAGTCTAAGGTGTGAACAAGCCCTAACGTTGCAAGGATCAGATAGGACTGCATGTGAAGAAAATATAAAACGTATGCAAGAGGAATAATAAAAAGAATTAAATGAATTAATTTACTGAGCACTATGGTTACAGGTATTAACTGCTTAAATTTACTTGCGTACAATATTTTTCACAATAGTGTTTAGTTAAAATTTTTATTTCTGCAAGCATTAATATTCAGTCTTCATGCACATAGCAGAAGCTTGATTACAAAATGTGATGAGATCCATTGGCTGAAAGTCCCTTGTCATCCTGAATCAAGCAGAAGTCTACCTCTACTCCCTGGTACTTAAAGCTTGAACGCTCTCAGAGGCTGAATAACTACTCGCATGAAGGCGAGTAGTTAGAAGAAAAGAAAAAGTAGTCTCATTTCATTGTGGGGATAAGGGTAGATCAGGAAACTATTAGCTCACTTCCATCTGATAAAAGTAATGTTATCCATATATTCTCATGTATAAAAATGAGTGCCAAGGCAGGAGGTTTCTGATGTGAATCGGACTTCCTTTTAATTAAATAAATGGAAATTTTTAGATTGTACACTATGACCCTGGTTCTCTACTGTTACAAACTCCAGTTTTCATATCTTGCTACTCCTTCTGCAATAAAGATAAATGTTTAGGATTCCATGGAGTCGGTAATATACAAAAATTATTTCTAGCATTATCTGTAAAGTCTCAGACAAATTAAAAGAAAATATGATTTTAAATTACCCACGTTGTAGTTTCAAATAGGCTAATTACTTTATTACTTAAGTAACCACAGCAACAATTGAAGCAAAAAGGTAAGTGCAAAAGTGAAGACGATGCAATATGGCAGGTCATTTATGTAAAGGCTTTGATAATCGGCAGACACTGGCTTATTAAAAAAAAAAAAGAAGAGCTCCATTAAGCACAATTTGCATCCAAACTAAATACTTAATATAACCATGATGCAAGCGCTTCTGATGAAATAAATGCTTCTTTTTATGAGGTCACAATGCCTATTAGTTACACATGTAATAGTGTTCACACAAAAGCAGAGTGGTCACTCCCTCTTAGCAGGTCACTATGGTCAGTGATTAGGTAAAGACTAACTCCATATTATCTTTAAGCCCACCTCCAAAAAATGTTTGTATACAGTATATTTAGAAATAGGCCATTAGAAACTAGAAAGGAAATCTAAATTTAGTAGCACTAAAAATGTTAACCTATAGCAACCATAAAGAATTGGCATTCTAGGACATCCTAGGACTGCAACCAAAAAGAATTGGCATCCTAGGACTTCAGACCAGCCACCTGTCCATAAAATAAATAGAAGGTGTTATGCAGTCCACAGAAATGTTAATCTCAATTTAATACAGCAGAGGCAGAAAGTACAGAAGGATGATCAACTTTCTGGATTTCGGTCAGGATTTTTTTTTTTTGCACTTAACAGATACAAAACATTTTTAATGGTACATTAAACAGACAAAATCAGAGCAAATAAGAGAAGTTTATTGTTAGGGTTTACATATACTACAACAAAGCATCCTTCACAGACTTGTCTGGAGGAGATCAAAACTTAAGTGTACTTTTTAACCTGCACTCATGTCAAATTTGAAATTTAACCTTCGGATGCATAAGGGGAGCACAGTTTACTTGCTCAATACTACAGGATCCGATGACCTGAGAACCTCTGCTTGTATTTCAGGAGAACCATTTCCAAAGCATCTAACTCAAACTTAGATATCTCATACACCATACATAAAACATGATATAAAAAAGTCAATACCAAAAAAATTGTTTCTCACAGCCAGATTGAAACCTGCCTTGGAAGTGTAAATGTAACTGATAAGGGGAGCAGAGAGAGTAGGATACAACACACAGGCTTTAACACACGTGATACTGTCGTGGGCTGTCTTGATTCTGGTTGAATAGGACTATGCAAAACTTTTGCTACAGTGTTTGCTCAACAGCATTCGTAGCTCACCAACTGGTTTTACTTGTTGTCTGGAATTGCTGTGTAACCTTTCAACATTAACATAAGGCAATACCTGCTTATTCAGTAAAGCATTTTGAAAAATACTGCAACCTAGCAGGTTCTACATTACAATAGTCAAACCACTGATTGACAAGTTCGGGATTGTCTTCAGGGAGTTACTGTCATCTCTCTAAAAATAAAGCTAGAGATGCGAGTCCAAGGGGATCGTGCAAACGTTTTGGTCAGTCAATTTATTCTGATCAGTAAACATAAAATGTAAAACATACTTACAGTAATTTTATCAAGGAGTTTTGCCATGTGTTTTATAATTTCCCCATGATGAGCTGTCTGGGTTTGTAAGAGATTCTTAATGACAACAACACTTTCTGCAACTACAACATCTGAAACACAAAAACAGAAATTCATGGTAACCACAACTGCAAATGATGTTGGGCATTACTTACTTACTTACATCAACACAACTCATACATGTGTCCTGTATAGTCTGTGTTGGCCCAGGGCCTCTAATGAAATACTGTTCTGCAGTGGAAAATGATGCTGTAAGGTGAAAGTTTGAAATGTATCTATTGCTACAGGACAATGCAGGCAGTAGGTATTTACATAGTTACATAGTATGTGAGGTTGAATAAAGACATTAGTCCATCAAGTCCAACCTATTAGGATCTCATTCTTAGGACTACTACTTGTACCCCTGTATATTACAGTCCCTTAGGAAATCGTCCAAAAGTTTCTTGAACAATTCCACACTCTTTGCTGAAATTACCGCCTGTGGCAGCGAGTTCCAGACCCTGACCGCTCTAACTGTGAAGAACCCCCTTCGCCCCTTGTGCTAGAATTTTTTTTCACCAATTTTAGGTGGTGGCCTCTAGTTTTTGTAATGGAGTTAATTTTAAATAGTTTATCGCCAATGTTGCTACCACCATTGAACATCTTGTACATGGAAATCATACCCCTCAATCTCCTTAATCTCCTCACCTCCAATGTGAACATGTTTAAATTTAGTAGCCTCGTCTCGTAGCTCTGGTCCTCCATACCCCTAATTAGTTTGGTTGCCCTCCGCTGGACTTTTTCCAAGGCTTGACATGTTTAGTGTCTTTTTACCCGACGTGACCCCATCTTTTGTATTTTACCAAAAAATTGGGTAATAATAAATGTTTTATCATTTAATATAGGGGAAACTGTTTTTTTTTTTTAAATTTCGGTAATTTTTCCTTAATATAGTAAAAAAATAAAATCCCCAGTGGTGAATAAATACCACCAAAAGAAAGCTCTATCTGTCCCCAAAAAAGGGTATAAAATTCATTTCAGTACAGCGCTGCATGACGGAATAAATGTCAGTTAAAGTACCGCAGCGCTGAATACTGAAAAATGGCCTGGATGGGAAGGGGGTTTAACAACACGGATGTCAACTGGTTAATAAATAAGTTGAACAATATGGGACCCAGCACAGAACCCTGAGGCACACCGCTCATTACACTAGCCTAGTCTGAAAAGGTGCCATTTACAGATACCCTCTGGACCCGTTCCGTAGCCAGTTCTCTATCCACGTACACACCACCTCATCTATGCCCGTAGCTCTCAGCTTGTGTAGCAAGCGTTTGTGTGGTAATGTATTTGTAATACCTTGATAAAACAAGCCATGTTCTGATCAAAGGGGGGAAAAAACAAATTTAGATTAACAATTTCTGGTTCTCTGTACTGTAAATCATTTAAAACTTAACTCGTAATTTTAATCAAAATAGCCCTGCATTGATCCTACCATGCACTTTAAGGGTTCTAGGAGGAGAGGTGTAAGGTAATAAAGCTTACCCTTTTCCACACTCCCATATACTTTTTTGAGAGCTGCAAGTGATCGTATGGCAAACAAACATCATGTATGAGGCAGGACTGATGGCCCTACATTACTTGAGGGTTACATAGTTACATAGTATTTGAGGTTGAATAAAGACATTAGTCCATCAAGTCCAACCTATGTAATACGTTGATAAAACAAGCCATGTTCTGATCAAAGGGGGGGAAAAAACAAATTTAGATTAACAATTTCTGGTTCTCTGTACTGTATCAAAAGCCTTTGAGAAATCCAGATATACCACATCCACCGGCTTACCTCAGTCCATATCTCTACTTACCCCCTCATAAAAAGTTAGCAAGTTAGTTAGGCAGGAACGATCTTTCCTGAACCCATGCTGATTGTCATTAACTATCCCGTTTTCCTGAACAAATTCTACCAGATAACAAATTCTGCCATCTTTCAGCTCACTGGAGTCCAGCTTTAAGGTTGTCACCAGAGTTAAACACAGCAATCAAAGGGCACCAATGACAGAACCATTTTTAGACCCTCTATTTAATTGCCTCCCAAGTACAAACACTTATTCAGTACAGGTGGATGGGTAGGTAGACAGACAGACAGATAGCTTGACAGTCAGCCATTTAAGCGCCACTGCACCTAATAAAAACAAAAAAACACTTTATACTTGCACAGCACTCGGTAGGCCTTGAGATCTGGTCACATATTAATACAACAATGCAATTTATGGACTCTGCAGCCTCTTGATATGTGCCTAACATAGCAGTGTAGGATGTGCAGAGGGTTTGAATTTTGGCCTTGGAGACTTAATTCTGTGAATGACACCTTTACTTTTAATTCCAAAAAAATCAGGCCTTGGTATCATCCTTTTAAAATAGCCTAAAACTTTAATTAAAAACATATAGTCACTCTAGAAAAAAAATTCCTATTTAACCTCTTGCCGTCCGCCCGTAGTAAAAAAACGGACGGACGGAAAAGATAGGCACCCTGACTAAATTAACAGATTGTCTTCCCTCCCTCACAATCACACCCCCCTCTATTCCTATATCCCACTGGCACCTCCAATCCAAGAGCATTTTTTTACTCCCCCAAGTACGGGTATTTTTTACCTTCTACGGTGACATAACTGACACGGGTGCATTTTTTTTGGCCTCCTACCAACTGCCAGGGCTATTGCCTCCATTGAATAGCCCCACCCCCAATGTCAGGCTGACTCTTTTGCAAAAGTTCCCAGGCACTGTCATTACTTACAGGAAATGAAAAACATTAGGATAATTTTTAAAAGTCACTGCTCCTCAAGAAATCCCTAAAGATTGGTTAGTAACCCACTGCCAAGGATTTATCTTTTATGTAACAACAATCAGAACCGAAACAAAAGCTTGGCGTTTTTTTCAGTTAGCACAGCCAGCATTTCTGCACAATATACAACCAGTTTTGGTATTTGAAGCCGTGTATAAGTGATCAGATGGCCTTCTAAAGTTGCGTTATGGCTCCCTCCTTGACAGGTTTTAATGTGTCACCTATAAACAGATTTCCATGTTAATTTCTCGCTATTTTGTGTACACGATTTGTAAGCTATATAATATTTCATCTTTGATAATGAATGGAATATCTGGAAGGTTGTGTGCACACAAAAAAAAAACTTTCCTTTTTTTACAAAATTGAAATTATAGATGAATATGGGAAACGCAAAATCATGAACACTATTTTTATTATGTGGGTCTGTTTTCAGTATGTTCTGCAGTGTCTTAAATCAATCCGACTCTAATGTGAGTTTCATTGTCCATTTAACAAAAAAAGGAAAGCTAGCCCACTAGCAAAAGGGCTAATGAATGATATTGCTCCAGAGCAGTGCGCAGTGTTACTTCATAGGATTTATCAGAAATATATTTCCCACTTGTCTTGTGTGATAAGGCTGGAAAAAACAAAGCTCATTTAACTGGGAAGCGTGTACTGGGAATACAGAGGCTTCTGAAATGATTTGTATGGTATTCTACTGTCACCTGGTGGAAGGCAGCAACCAGATGTTAATTAAATACATAAACAAGATTGCAAACAAAATGTACAACCTACAGACAGAAGATGGTAAAAGGAAGTCTAAAAGATCTAAAAAGTTGAGGATAATTTCATGCCACCTAATTACAAAAGTCTTAAATCCTGAATAGTTGTGTTTTATTTATCTTTTTCCCACATAGGTATACAGCCAGTTTAGACTTAAGCTTTTCCTAAAGTGGACTTGAAAAGAAAACTACCATAATGAAAAACATTGTATTCCGCAAAGTGTATACGGCGCATACCTGTAATGGTAGCATTCAGTATATGAATTCCTTTGTCACAGCCTTTATTTATATTTAACTCCACCTTGACATGTGCAGTGACCCTCAGACCCTATGCGTTTGGGGGAGTGCATAAGTCCTGGTATGCATGCAAACAATGAGATTTGCATTCATACCCGTGCAGCTGGAGCTTCATCCAGCCTGATATTGATTTGTACAGGTAACCTGCACACACCTGTAACTTCCACACAGAGATATGCCCCATCTGTAAGCTGCACGGACATTTTCAGGAGGCCTTACTGGAAAGTGTGCTTACAATAATCTTTAACCCCTATGGCCTAACCCTTTTTCTGCCAACGACATACATAACTGGCAGTGGGCCCCTCTACACAGAGGGGCGGGTAGATCTCCATTCACCTTCTCTCATCCCCCCCGGAATGGAGCTGTAAGCAATGCTGATTGCATCACTTCCGGTTCCTCAGCTGTTATTCCCTGGCTAGAGAAGCTGTGATTGCTATATTGGGTATCTATTTACTCGGGATAATCTCATCTTTCATATTTTACACAAAAAAAGGTATTATATTGTGTTTTTCTGCACTAAAGGTAACGCAAGTGTAATTTTTACCGGCATTTTGGGTTTGATAAAGAGGGAGCGAGAGGGTGGGGTTGGGGGAGAGAGAGAGAGAGAGAGAGAGAGAGAGAGAGAGATCTAAAGTGAATTTTTTGGGGGGATAACAAAAGCTTATGGGAAAGTTCAAAAGCACAGTCAGGGTTTTTCTTTTTGCTGTCTAGATCCAGTTGGGAAGAGTTTGCTTCCTGTCCCAGAAACACAAAAGGGTGTAGAAATCTCTCCAAAGTGAGGGGTAGTGATGGAGCAGTAGATAAATAAGGAATTTGCTATTTCCACCAATCAGCAAACTATTTGTTAAATTTGCAGCCCTGTGCAATGCAGTAAAACCATATTAACTTGCAGTGCTGACCCTCTCAAAGCTGATGTAGAGGGACTTGCAGGGGCCAAGTGCAAAGACAGATTATTTCTGCCTACACTACAATAAACTCAGCGCTGAGACTCTATGAAGAGGCATACCTCACAAAACGCTTTCTGGACAAGTCCTATTGCTGAAAGATTCTCAGGTTAACACACCTACAGTATAAACCCAGGGTTGTTAACCAAAAATGCTTTGCATCTCACTGTAACTTACTTATGTTCAATGATGACCCTACAATAAAGTTATACATCTTCCAATCAAGGCCAATATGAGTTACCTGAATGACACTGGATTTACACTTTTTCGGTTTTCTAATGCTGGTGGGTGAAAGACTGGGACAAAAAGGTTTTTGTTTTTTATATTACATTACGGATTTCAGAATTCTGCATTTATAATTACAAACTTCAAAAAAAGAGACCTTAAGGAAAAAAGGATATGGCCACCCTGCAGCTCAAGAACAACTACACTTGAGCATGCCTTGCCAGCCACAATAAATAAACAGAGGTCTGCAGGTTATCCAAATCTGCGGAATAAATGAAGCAAATCCCTACAAATATCATAACACAGAGAAGGCAATTGGGAAGTATGTCACACAAAAATATAAACATCTTCACAAGGAAAAGATGGATTATCTTACCATCTCTGTTTGACAATAGGTACACAAGGCCATTAAGACAGGTGTCAGTCACGGCAGATATATTGGTTGCACATCTTCCGATTGCCTGAATTGTGGCTGCGGCAAACTGTTTGTCCTGGCTTTTCACGTAGGTCTAAAAATAAACACATTTATACGCGTTACAAAAAGGACTTTAAAATTGCATTACGGACTTGGGCAGCACAGTGACAAGTGAATCCACATGGTAATGAAGTATCAATCTTCCCTCTCCATTCCCCCTTCTACAATTTCATTTCACAGAGGTGAAGCGCTTGTGAATCCAAAACACTGTTCTCATCTCAGGAGACCCCAGGGCTTCCGAAATATTTGACTTTTCACATTCAGTGGCCATTATTAATATATTAGTTACTTGTTAAAAAAAAAAATGCAAAACATAGTTAATTGTAGGTATAGACTAATCAATATTTATTAGTAATGTGACAGAGCCAAACCCTGCCAACAATTGGATGTTGAAGGTGACAGTTTATCAATATGTGGAACCATTAGGGGTAAAGCATACGTATGTAATCCCAAACAGTAAAAAATTGCATTTACGCTTCAAAAATGCCAACTCATTTTCAATATTTTTAAATCTGTAACTTTTAGGGTAAGTTCACACTAGCAGCCACGCTCAACTCCACGGCTGCTGGTGTGCGTGTCACCGAACAGTGCCAATGCGCTTGATCGGGCCGCATCGCACTGTGTCTTTGATTTTTTCGTAGAACATGAGTAACATTTCATTACGTTCTATGGCTCACCCTGGTGCGATGCGGTTGTACTGTATCTCACTGTGGTGCTCTTAAAAAGTACCACATGCCGTACTTTATGCACACACCACCGGAATGCAGAGGTGTGAATCAAGCCCATCCATGACAGCTCAGCTCGAATTCAGATAGTTTGAACCAGCTCTCATTAAAAAAATATCTGTTATCCTGCCGTGAAGGTGAACAAAAACCTATAGAGGGGGTTTCTCAAATTTGACTGCAAAGGTGGAAATACCCTTTAAAATCTCAGAAAACCCTCTGAAACCTTTGGAAGGCAAGTAGGGATATTTATGCAGTAGAATTACAATAAAGAGTGTTTGTAATACGCTTATACACACTTACAGGGTACTTTCAAAACTGTACAAACTTTTTTGAAAACTAAATGAAACGGAGAGACCAGAGATGTATAGAATATAATATACACTGGTCTCAGGCTTAAAAGAAAAAGAATAGCGATGAGCATTCAGGCACAATAAAAGTAGGCATTGTGTGATTTCCTGTATGGTGGGAAATGTTTAAACGTGAGTAAACATATTTTCATTGGGTCAAATGTGACCTGCTCAGCAGTGTGTTAAAAGTGCGTGAGAGCGATGTGAAAACACAACGAAGGCCAGAAATAACACTGAACAACTTCTATATCTTGAATGGATTAGTACATTCTCCTTACTGTTCTCATAATAGTCCATAGCCTTCATGTAAGGACACACTAGTGAAAAATTAAAGTAAGTAACTTTATAAAAACCCAATTTCAGTTCCCAAAGGTGCTTTATTCAAGAAATAAGGGGAAAAAAGGCACATAAAGAAATGTCCACTGAGTGCAAAAAAAGCCTACGATGAATGCATATGTAATAAAGTGAAATATTTTTATATTTCACCAGTGTCCTTTTACACAGACAATAGATTTTGTGCATTGCCCATCAAACATTTTCAGGGTGCCTTTGGAGAATAAAGCCCCATAACACAGCATCACATTAGTCCTGGATTTCAGCAGCAGTCATGCATAAGATTAGATAGAAAATGAATCCAGAAAATTAAAAAAGATTTCTGCATAAAAAAAGATGCTTAACTATTTGCCTTTGGGTGGACGCAACTAATCTACAGCTGCCAGAAGGATTTTCAATACCCCATGCCATGCTCTGTGGTTCCATCGACCAGTCCCTGGGCTACTAGTGTCCCATAGAGACTGACAAATGGAACCACTGAGCACAGCGGGGGACTAAGAATCTGGATGCTGTAGAGAGCAAAGATCACAGACAGTCACTTTAAAGCATTATTAAACCCTCTTACAAACAAAAAAACAACAAAAATGCAGCCCTCACCACATACCACGTGTGCTATGTTCTTTCCTTTTAAAAACTGCCATTGCTTGGCATTCCATACATGAAAAATCAGTTCTCCTCTGTTTTTGTGTGACTTCATCGTCTCGCAGGGACCCATCGAGCCCTAATATAGCCACCTTTGCATGAACGTTCACAACAGGGGATACAGCTGCACCTCCCAACGTGTGCGCTGACAACCCCAAAGCCAATGACAGCAAGGCACCCCTTGCTATGGGCCAAGTCACACCAAATCCAGTGTGTTCGGCAATGGGTTGAGGCCGGAATGCATTGGATCTCGTCTGGGGCGGGAGGGGGCGTGGTGGTGCCATTCTTGTCAATGGCACTGCAAATACCCCCACCCCTCCCCGGCCTGCAGTGCGATTGCCCGCATCAGAAGGCGTGGTACTGGAACGCCCTGCATTGCGGTGGAGTGCATGCACTATTTTTTCCGATCCTAGGGCATTTATTAGTCACCACTAAAGTGCAAAGTGCATTGAGGGGTCACTAATAAATATAATAAATATCCCTTTTTTATCTTTATAGTGTGCTGGTGAGATTTAGAATTTTTTTTACTTTCAGTATTACAAAATGTAAGTACTTGGTCACATATTGGAAGAGAAAAAAAAAGTAATAAAGAATGTTTTCTTGGTTTAATACAACTTTAAGCATCTTTTTGGATAGTGAGAGGTGAATGTTTATCTCCACTTTTTCAGTCAAATTTGAGTAAACCCCTCTTTATGTTTGTTATGTGTTCCCTTTTCACACAGCTTATCTAAAAAGATGAAAAAGCATTTCTTTCCTTTTAGATGCGTCTGTGTAGCAGCCCTTTGTAAGTGTCTCTCTCAAATTTAATATGACAGGAAACTCTTGCTATCCCCATAGAAACACTAGGGACACTCTGAGCTTCCCCACATTAACATACAATGCTTCTAAATCTTGAACCCAGGAAAGTGTTCAAATCTAGCGGATAATAAGATCTGCCAGCACAGTACAGACAGGGCATATTGATGTTAACATTAGCCTGCCCTGCCCCCCTTGCATTCCAGAGCAAAACTCATAACAGAGAACAACCTTTCTTTCAGAATAGAGCATGCATTGTGCAAATAAAAATGTTTAAAAGAAAATAAGTTATGCTATGTGAATGAGAAACAGGTAACCAATATAAAATAGGCTGCAGTGGAAATACACTTTATACAGATGTAATAAGGCAGTGCAAATAGTAAAAAGGTTTTTAGTTCATGCAAATCAATGACAGCATCAAAAATGACCACATAAACACAAAACTAAATCAATTAACCTAATTCCCCAAAAATTACACCAATACTCGTCAATCTTCTATTTTATGTTAATTTCTACCTTGAGCCTAGGCAAAAACAACATTTGTTTATTTACCATGAAATAATACTACATAAAAAACAAAAAGGTAAATTGCAAAATAAAGCAAAAAACTGTAAGTACAGAAACTGAGATGTTTTACATTTATGTCATTTTTACACCAGACCATCCGTCTGCTGTGTATAAGGCTGGGCACACACCTTACAACCATCGCAAGACTTTTGTCTTGCGATGGTTGTAAGGTACTTAAAAAAACGTACGATCTGCCTATCTTGGACAAGCAGATCGTACTTGCGATGATCGCAAGCCACGCCCCCGAGGGGCGGACATCCAATGACCGCAATGACGAACGGGCAGTGTGCGCTTGCGCACACCGGCCCGTCCGGCTTTTATCTTACGAACATGCTACACACCCGCCGAACATCGTACGATGCTCGGCGGGTTTTCGAACATGTTCGTAAGTTTAAAGTCGTCCGACTTCCACACACCTTACGCACGGCTTCCACTTCGCACGGCTTCCACACACCTTACGATAATCGTACGATCGCGGGATTTCCCACGATTATCGTACGATTATCGCAAGGTGCGTGGGGACCTTTAGATATAGTACCATGTTAGGCAAAAGGAGGAACAGGGTCAGCTTTAAATGTTTATATGTTCTGATTATCTGCTGAAAGGATTTCATATTTATCTATAAATATTAATGTACCTTTTTTTTTTTTTGTTTACATAAAACAAATTTGAAGATAATGCAGTGAACATTTTTGACCCTTATAGCATTAGTATTCACTAATGTAGATGTTTCAATGAATGTCAACATTTGCTAAAAAGGAATATTGCACTTGCCATTGCTGACCCTCTTTTAAAAATGCTAGTTGCTTGGCTCATGCCATTCACTTCATAACTCTGAGTCACTGATCTGGAACAAATTTACAGAGCATGGAAGTCAAAAGGTTTTAATCGTTTTACTTGTTCTATGTTTGACAGCCACGCAACTAGCATTTGCAGAAGGATGTAGTCCGGAACGGTAGCAACCACGTTTCTCCCAGGAAAGGTTTCCTTTAGTAAATATGTTGCCCAGATATAATTTAATCCATTTTGTTTTTCCCAAATGCAACATAAAATACACACAAACCTGGAATTCACGTAGTAGGGTAGAGACATTTGCTTCATTTGCCAAGTTTGTCATTATTTCAAGCTGTAGAAACAAACAAGCCTTTATTATGACAAGTATACAAAACAATAAAGCAATGAGATCAAACACCAGAACAATGTGAGCCTAGATGTGTCCAGGAAGTTCTAAACCCTTTTGCCACTGCCAATAAATCGAATTAATATGATTTGTACGCGAACGTTGTGCCATTCACCTTTACTGGTCTGTGTTAGGTAGAGCTTATGCATGTGTTAGACAAATTGATGGGAGGCCTTACTAAAAAATGTACAAAACATCAGCAAAGTTTTGCATAAGCTGTGCTAAAGTGAGTCCAATTGCTGAGATGGCTTAGGCATGTGCCCATCTATTCAATTAACCTGCCTTCAATGTGTCTAATGTCTATTGAGAGTGGCAAAACGTGAAATATTAGCATTGGTTAACAAATGACAAAACAGAACTGCAACACGTTTTGGGTGCTTAAAGACCTCCTCCTTCTTAGGGCGTATATAAATAGGTAATCAAAAGAACTCACAGCTGGCACAAATCAACAAGGGTTAAATATTTTCTGTCTAGGGCAGGGGTAGGCAACCTTGGCACTCCAGCTGTGCTGAAACTACAAATCCCATAAGGCATTGCAAGCCACAGCCATGACCCAGAGGCAGAAGCATGATGGGATTTGTAGTTTCAGCACAGCTGGAGAGCCAAAGTTGCCTACCTCTGGTCTAGGGTATAGCTAGAATCAGTGAAACTGCAAAAAAAAAGTGCAGAATCACTAGTCAGTAAATAATTTACTCTTGGTGAATGATGCCAGCGTTAAGTCCTTTTGACTACACCATTATGTTTAAGCCCTGAAGAAGGGGGAAGTGTTGGTTTGGGGCACCGAATATATTTTATATACTTTAAATTAGGGATGCACGGATACCGATACTCGCCCAAATGCTCCGATACCTTTCCCGATACTGGAACTTCTGGTCAGAGGGAGATTTCCTCAGACTGGAAGTGCCACGAGGGAACATGGAGCCGGGATGCTGGCTCCATGCTGTTTGGCCGGCTCCATGCTGATTGGCCGGGAAGCCGGTTTCCCAGCCAGTGTCGAGCCAGGCAAACAAATCGGATAATGTGGTGTGACGACCCCCACCCTGCAGACAAATCATTCCCCTCACATCGATCCTTAGCAGCAGTCATTACCGTACCAGTCCCTCGACCAGCTGGGCAGACACCGCTCTCCAAGCTCTCCAGATCTGGGGGCTGTACACACAGGAGACGTGGGCCGATCCGGAAGAGCTTGGAGAGTGGTGTCTGCCCAGCTGGCAGAGGGTAATGACTGCTGCTAACGATCTATGTGAGGTGAATGAGGTGTCTGCAGGGTGGGGGTCGTCTCACCATATTGTGATCTGTTTGGCCGGCCTCGATGCCGATTGGCTGGGAAGCCAGCTTCCCAGCCAATCATCACCGACCCGGCCAAACAGAATGCAGTCGGCTTCCTGGGCAATCAAGAACCCGGGCGGTGGGTAATGACACCTGGCTTCCTGATTGCCTGGGAAGTCGGCTCTATGCTACCGGAAGTACCAGTATTGGCACTCGGTATCGGAGAGTAACGAAATATAAATATCGGTACTCATACTCGATACCAAAAAATCGGTATCGGTGCATCCCTACTTTAAATATTCATATCTAGGTCCCTTGTTTGAGGCCCCCTGGTTTTTGTTGAGAGCAGCCTAAACAGCGCCATTATGCTTTATCACGATCTGGTCCAACTTTAGACAATTTTAATCTGGTGCCTCATCTCTACTTCTTCCAAATAAATCCAAGGCATTGCTAAAAAAAATGCTCAAACCTGATCCAAGTCCACCTGAACTGCATAATTTCCAAAAATATATAAAAAAGGTAAAAAAGTATGCAATGCATTAATATACTGTCAAACCGACGTTCCTTGCTGATCCACTTGCTGAATGCAGCAAGGGCCTGCATCCCGGCCTTATGGAAACAGGCTGTACAGCCATCTGTTGGAATGTGGGCTGGGCGAGTGGAGGAGATTAAGCTGATGGAGATTAAGCTGACCTCATCCTTGAAAGGAACCCAGGCCAGATTTGTTGCTACCTGGAGTACATGGTACATGTTCAGGGACTCAGCAGATTTCCTGGATGCGTGCCGGGGTTTGGGGTGAGAGATGGAATAGCTCCCGATTGGGGACCCCTTCTTCCCCGACATGTTACGACTAGAAGTAGTCCAGGCCGCATGGCCTGGAATTGACCGACACCTGGAAATTTTTTCCCTCCTACCCTTACGTGTTCTGTGTTATTCATCCTTTATACTACTCTTGTGTGATGTTGTCTTCTTCGTTTATGTGTACGCCTCCACGGGGGGCTGGAATGGCTCGGGCCCTCCGCGTTAGTGGGCTGGGCCGTACAGTCCGACAAGGGGCGATGTTTCCCTTCTGTTATATAATTACAAAATGCCTTAGGGGATGGGATGGAGAGAGCCTGACTAAAACCTGACTGGGCAGTGTACATATACACTGCATTCTAAGAATGCTCTAGTATTGCTTGATATGCTCCCATGGTTTTTAGTTTTGTTTTATTACTGATCTACTGTCATAGCTTTTAATGTCAGGTTTTCAGATTTGAACTGTTGTGCGGCCATGTGGCCCGTTCGTTTTGATTGTACTCTCTGTATCCCACCTTTTTGCTCATAAATAAAGAATTAAAAAAATATATATATATACTGTCAAAGGAATTTACCAAAACTGGAGCAGACAATATCTGAAGCAGTTGCCCATGGCAACCAATCAGCATCTCTTTTCAGTTTGCTCAGGTAAGATTAGAAAATGAGACACAGAAGCTGATTTATCGCAGTGCAAATCTGTTCCAGATTTTGTCTGCTCCAGTTTTGATAAAGTCCCCTCAATATACTGTACGTTGCATGAAGTAACCATGCATGCTCATGCCTATGGAGAAAGGAGCACTTTCCAAACATACCCAGCCCTTCTTAGAGAGTAAACAACAATTAGATGAGAATTATCCATTCTACCTTCTCAGTATACCTTACGAGATTGCTCAAGCAGGGGATGTTTTGCCATGGCTGGATATGGCCTGTAGACATACTAACATTTGTTGATCAGATGGTATGGATTGGGTAAGTGTTCCATGAGATCTACACATACAATTAAAAACACACATCCATTTGGCAGTGTAAGTACTGTATATCTTATGTACAGCCATACCATTACATCTCTACCAAGAACAATACTCTATAAAGCACTTACTAATTACAGACATCCTACAAGTGCACATAGCACCTCTCATCTCTCAAAAAGCATGCAAAGAATCGGTGCCATTTGTGCTTACCTTTAGTGTTTTGATCATAGTTGGGTCAGTTGACCTAATGTAGAAACTTTTTAAATATGGTTCGAACAGACCCTACAGAATAAATGGAGAAGAAATGAGTTAGCAGGAGAACACAGTTCTATCTTCATAAAGTTGTATATTGGTTGTGACTGCAGAATAGGTGGTATAGTAATTCTTTTTTATATTGATTTACAAATCATTTACTGCAACATTTTTTTGGAAAATTAATAAAAATCTAAAGAAATTTGGTGGAGAATGATCCGCGGAAAGTAAAAAAAAAAATCACTTTTGTGACATGTACAGATGATTTGTCTTTTTGTTTTATTTTTATTTTCGTTTGCATTCTGTATGATTGCTTGAAAATCAATAAAATATTTTTCGGGAAAAAAAATCACTTTCAAAAACTTGCAAATAATTTAAATGTGGTAGCATGTACATGTTGCTAAGTGCTATCATATTTGAGTTGTATGTACGTTTTTGATACAAACAGAGCCTGAGGCATTTATACTTGTGTCTCTTACATAGTTATTGGACTTCCATGGACATGTATGTTTCTTTGGAAACAAAAATGCCTGATATTATTGAGCAGGGCTTGTTGCCATACCAAGGACAGCAGAGTTTAGGGTTTTTTGTGAGGTGTTGTCAGATAACAATTGTCAATTGAATTTCCTGTTTAGTGGCTGATATTAATAGATTTTAAATATTAAAAGCGATGTTTTACTTTTATCAGATGATACTTTACAAAATGTATTTTGGTTTTTTGCTTCTTTCTGTTTATTAAATATCAGCTGCTTTACCTTCCTCTGTATAGACATGGTTGCTATGTTCTGAAGAACAATGTACTGAACTTCCCTGAAAACAAATATAAAAGCAATGAGAACAATATTGATTTGGAAATTCAATCAAAATAAAATGTAATACCCTATCTGACATCTTTATGCAAAGTAAAACAAAAATTTGTAGAGTGAAAAACATGTAATGAAGTTGTATAGCATTCATACTGAAAGAGAAAATCAATTTTAATGAGTGTATTGCATTTCTTTCTGAATACGTGCGCTTATAAATATCCACATTTGTGTGTGTGCGCATATGTATGTATACACAGCTATGTTCAATAGTTTGAAGCCATAAGAAATGTTCATGTTTTTTTATAGCAACCGATGCTCTTAGTCTCCAAAGAAATAAACTGATCAGAAATGAAAGCCAGTAACATTGGCAATATCAAAACATTTTCATTTCATTATTTCGAAGCTATATAGGAGGAAATTTTAACCCACACCTTATTCATTATTAGGACACTGAAGAAATGACTTCCAAAAATTGGCTGTACAGACTTGTGTGAATAATAAATCATTCAGTAACTTTAAGTTGAAATAACCATTTGCAACATTAAGTAATATTTTCTAAATCTATTTAATAGCATCTTGAGAAAAAAAAATATAAAACCCTTAAAAATAAAATTATTTCTGAGATAAAAGTTTTGAATGCTAGTAGCACCAAAAATACAAATCACATTCAAAGTTCAACTGACAAAGCTGTGAAGGTGTACCTTTAGGGTTAATACCAAGTTCCTCAGACTTGTTGAAAACTCTGTGTGTAAGTGTACGTGTTAGGTTAGCCCAGCCATGTACATGTAGGATTTCTGCACCCCTGCTAAACAGGAATCTGTACTGCCATCTATTGTATTTACACAACCATAACACCCGTGACTGCCAGAATATTTGAATATTGACTGTATTTGATAAGATGCAGTCACTGATTGGCTGACAACTTTCCAACTGGCTCCTTTGATTTGACATAGACTTCAGTTCATCAGCAATCAGATTAAATTTGAATTGTGTATGGCAAGCTGAAGTCTGGTATAGCCATTACACAGCAAGTCAATGTGCACAAAGGACTGCAGTTGGTCACATTCAAGGATGGGCAGACATACCAACACATTGTTCTTGGAAATATATCTGCCTGTCATAAACGCTTGCATGGTCGTCCAATTTTTATTAAACCTATTATTAAACCTATTGTATTACCTAAATGGAAATATGTTCTAAAGACAAATCATTAGAATCTTTTTTGCGTTATAAAATACAACACTAAAAATATTACAACTGCCATTATTCTGGCATCACTTCCCAATTCTTTTTTGTTTCATCTTCAACTAGCATCACCATTCTGTATTGGCTACATAACTGGTTGGGGATCTAATATGCATGCTAAGTGCTCCAACAAACCAGGAAGCATCAAACTAGATAACTAAAGAAGAGCAGACTCCGTTGAAGAACCATTTCTGTCACCCTTTTCAACAGGAGCACAGTAGTAGCAGGACTTAGTGAATTGAAATAATGATAGAAAAGCAAGAAACGAAAACTTTATTACCAAAAGAAGCATAAACTACTTTTGTCATACCTGTGACCGCGGAGAAGGCGTACCAAAGATTTGGCAACCAAAGTAGTCTCAGTTTTTGGTGCCAAGTGCCAATACAGCTGAACCACAGCCATAACCACCTAAAATATAATAAGTATAATCATATAAAATCAAAATTATATTACAATCTCCACATAGTAGAATTTCATTTGCAGACTGTACTCTAAAGCCTTGGTTCTCAACTGGTGAGTCGTGACCCAAAATTGGGTCGCGACCCTGTGTTTAGTGGGTCACCGCATGCCTTCCACTTTTCTACGCGAGAGGCTCCTCTGCCTCCCCCTAGCGCAGCACTGTCTGTTTTCGCGCCAAGCAGCCATTCAAAATATGCTGCCCAGTGCTAAATGCCAGCTTGAGGTGGGATGGGGCTATGGCCGGGAGGGAGTTCCATCCATACGTGCATTGCTTACATCTCCCTCACGTGCCCTATAGAGGTGCCTTAACCCGGAGTGACATCACATTCTGGCTCCCGTCACTTCTACAGTGCGCACAAGAGAGCTGTACAAGCATTGCACATATGGATGGAGCTCCGTCACAGCACAGCAGCCCACACTGGACCCCAGGCTGTGTATCCACTCCAGTTCCCGTAAGGTAGGGAGCGGGGGTGGATCTTGAAAAAAAAAAATGTAATCAAATATTTTTTTGGATTGTGGATGTGTGTGTGAGAATGCCTTTGAGTGTGTGAGGTTTTGTCTGTGGTTGTGTATGTATGTCAGTGCTTTTGGAGGGCTCGTTCACACTAGTGCGATTAACGCACTGTACCATGCAATTGCACCTACCGTTCATTCTGGTGTGGGAGTTGCGTTGGGCTGCCATTCATTTGAATGGTACCCCAAACACAGCTCATATCCCTGGCACTGGAACGTGCATTCGATTGCAGTGCGAATTGGGTCGCGACTTAATGACCAAGGACAAATGTGGGTCCTGAGGTTACACAGGTTGAGAACCACTGCTCTAAAGTATAGTGCTACTATTTTATACGGCGCACAATTTTCAGAAAGGGTAAACCTTTTTTAGGACATGAAATCTCTGCAATCTATTAAACTTTTCCAATTGCAGTTTACAATATCCGAAATAACAATGGATTGAAAATACAGTAACCCCGATATCATAGTAACCAGTCATACCGCAGCATTTCTGCTCTGGAGCAATGGTTTTGTGTTTCTTAGGAGAAGCCGATGGTCTGGGTCCATAGTGTACGGCTTTTTCTGTTTTTCATCTTTTTCATTTTCCTCATCAGATTCATAGAAAGCATTTGCCTCTGAATTATCATCCTGCAGGAAAACAAACAAAGTCAGTTGATTAAAATTACCAAACAGAAAGCCAAAGGACTGCATATCGTATTCAGTGAATGTGATGCTTGTAATGCTACAGAAAGCTGTCAGACTGCAGACATACAACAGGAGCTAGTCAGAGACTACAGGCATGCAAAAGAAATGGACGAGAATGCAGACATGCAAAGGAAAATAGTAGGGAAACATGCTATGGAGTAGTCATAGACTGGCTACATGCTTCAGGAGACTGCTAGTAGTTACCGATATACAACTATTTTACAAATCAACAATTCTACATTTCTGCTCTCTTCAGCTTCCTTAAAGATTATCTTGTGCCACTTTTGATATTCCATTTAACAGGATTCATTTTAAAAACATAAAAGAAAACGGAGATGAGTAAAACGGAAAAAAAAATAACAGTATGAACGAAACAAGTCAAACCATCTTAAGTACTGGAATCCAGACTAAAGAATATTTTTTGCTCACTGGATTTGGTAATACTCTAGCTAAGGAAAACAGACTACGGTCTGCAGGGGTAAGGGCTACACAGTAAGTGCCAAAGGGCCACATGCTGCCCCAGGGCTGCAAGCTGGATACCAGAGATTTAAAGACTGTGTACAATACTAGATGTTCTTGCAGTCCACCCAAAGCATGGATGTCTTTAAGTCAAACAAATTACTGTTTGCCAAACAAAAAACAGAAGCTGCAAGGACCCTGGATTACTCAACTGCAGTGCAGGAGGTCAGCTTGCCCTATTCACAATATTATACGTGCATTGTATTGTGATGTTTTGGTTTTAACAAAAAGACACACTTGCACATTTTATTGTTAATGTTTGACAGTTTTCTTGCTTCCAAAGGCTCCACATAAGTTTAGCAAGGAAGCACCTCTCATTATTCTGCTGTAGTTCCACACAAGTTGGATTCTACTGACACTATCTGAGCCACTTGAACCCAAGAGGTGACTGGTGTACCAGTGGTCAAATTCCTCTCAGGGAATAATATTCCCCCTGTGACATTTTATTAATTTATTCCATTTGGTTTTAGAATTTCTAATTATTAATAAAGGTTTATCATTTGGAGCACAATTTATTATTAGCATAAAACAGTCACATTTGAGATATTTCTGAGAACTAGAGACAGAGAACAGGTTTCTCTTGCACACCACTGATTTGTTGTCAATTTAACTGTAGGTCGTTGTTTGTAGTCCCCCCAAAAAATGCCCCTTAGTCTAAAGTGGTTGATAGCAAAGAACACTTGGTTGCAACTGGTGTCACAGCAAATGTATACCCAAGTTGGTTTCTTTACTTGTAAAAAAACACATATAAAACTGATCCATTATCATTGACAACGTTTTATCTAAACATTTAAAGTGCATTAGGGCCAATGCATATATATACTGTTGAGAGAATCGCTGCAATCAAAACTTGGGTTGTGTGCTGTAGAGGCTGTTCTGCACTCAACAATGCAAATAAAGGAGGGGGGTGTGTTAAATATCTCTTACTCTGACTTTCAAAGTTGCAAATGTTTATGCCAAAAATTTTAACTGTATTTTAAAAGTGTTCAAAACGGGTGAATCAGATGATAGATTGGGGTTTGTATGGGTTTCCTCCCAGATTATAGATGCATACTGTAAGGCTACCTGGATTCTACCCAACATAGTCCTAGAGGGTGTGTGTTCCTATATAACATACACTAAAATAATATGGAGGGGGGTATTTCAAACCGGTTTCCAACCATATAACAAAAAAAAAAATCAAAAAAGTCAGTGTCTGGCACCACCTGAAGATATGGTCATTTCTAGGCAACACTAAATCAAATAATTTTGTATTTTTGGGAAAAGATGAAAGAAGCAGGCTAAGTGGACACTACTAAATTGTGTTTAATGATTATTTTTTGATTTTTGAAAAATAAACGTTATATACATGCAGTTTTTAAAAGCTACAAGATGTGTGGTGCAAGGCTGCAAACAACTGGGAAAGAACAGCCGTGGCGGATCTGCTCCTTTGCTCCATATTTTAACAGTAGAAAAATTCCATTAACAAAATCCACCAGTGTTGATTTGTAATGCAATTACCCTAATGAAACATATCACGCTTTTGCTTACTGCGCTCTAGCAGCGTTATGGGTCACAAGACGCTGTCTTCACTGGCAGTATGCAAATTAAGTATTTCATTAATAACCACAAAGAAGAAAAAAAAACACAATTCCAACACATTCTATCACAGAAGAAGAAAAGATAGCAAAGTGCTTTACTCATTATGCATACACACATACGCATTAAGAAACATATAAGTTGATCTTCTACTAGTACATAGTACAGAGACTACATCTATATGACCAATCTCAATCAGCTGCCCACAGCACATGATGATTCATGGTCATGTCCAATTGCTCATAGGTGAGTTTCAATGCTTGTCTTGTATGCTGTAAGAGAAACATTGCCTTTCACCGAGAGGATTTGGCCACCAAGACGGAGGGCGTGTGCACTCCATCTCCAGACTAGATACGGATGTGTTTCTACAAATGTGGTCATGTGCGTTTTTGATCCATTTTTTTTTAGTGTCAACTGGTTTTTAGGTGTGTTCCAGTGTGTTTGCATGCATTTGTGTTTGTTTCAGACCAGAAAAAAAAATGTGATATTCTGGACGAACGTAATGCAGTGAACTACTCAGAAGAATCATTGGACTCTATGGGGATGTGTTTTTGGACCAGACAAAACATTCTGGTCTGGATTTGATCTGGAGATGGTGTGAACAAGTCCTTAATGTAGCAAGAAAACCTATTCTTGGCTCCTAACCCTTGAAGCAACGTTTTGACTGCATCTTAGTACACACATTGAGGATGATTTAGTAAGGAAGTTGAGAATCTTCAGTGAAAAATTAAGATATACATATACCCAAAAATTAAAAGCAAATTTGAGTTAACTTTGAATACTCAATCACATGCTGATGCTTATCACATAACTGGATAATTGAAGTAAATATTCAAACATTTTTTCAGTGAAGATTCTCAACTGCCTAACAAAATCAGCCTTATAGTGTGTGTGTGTGTGTGTGTGTGTGTGTGTGTGTGTGTTCACATGGTTTATTCAAACAGGCCGCCAACAATTCTTAAAAACAACATGCTTCCAACTGACACACATGCTGCTATTCGCTGTGACATCTAAGCTATTCAGGAATCAACATACCATCAATATCAATTCACTGAGAAAACAGAAATCACATGGGATGGGAAGTCATTAGTCTGAGAGAGACTGTTGTGAAACTTGACACAAAGGAAGTGTTGTGCTATCGGCAAGGTGTATTTCTCTACTGCTAAATCTGCTAACGTTCATTTGACTAATCTCTGGAATTCATTAACCTAAAAAGGTTTAATTTCCATTTTCCTGCATCAGCTCTATTTATGAAATGTTGTGCCCTATAAAGATGCCGTTATTTTCCATAGTCAAGCACCCTCTTAACAAATCTTCTCATTAATATGTAAATGTAAAGTCAATCGGTCTTCTCCCTGACAGCACTATGAATTGCTAGTGCACTGTATAATCTGCTGTGACTTGGCATCCGCTATTTATCATGAAATATGTCAGTTAGAAAAATTATGGAAACAGCGCTGCAATTGATAGGGCTGCAATCTACTTTGTCAACACTTAATTGTTCTTTAAATCTAACATTTACATATAAACAGCCTAAATTCCCAGCCATGATGATACAAATAAACTAAATTAAAAAAAACTCTTGGGTATCTCAAGATGTCCTGTTATGGGACTTCATTATATTTAAAAAAAAAAAAAAAAAAAAAACAAGGAAAAAAAAGGGTCAAAAAGCTTAAATAAAAAAAAAAAAAAAAAAAAAAAAAACAGCAAGGAAAAAAATGGTCTAGAACGCTGAATGAAAAAGATATTAAAGTGAAAAAAAATGTGCCAATTTGATGAATAAGTAAAATGATTAATTTTGTCTAGGGGGACCAACCACTATAATTCTTAATGCTCATAAATAAACTCTGTATCAAGCATCTACACAACGTTACTGAAAATCCAGATTTTCTTGATGCAGAAATCACTGAATTCCAATTGAGCGGCAATTCATCAAGAATGCTGCAGAGAAGGGCTGCAATGAACCGCGCTGCGTGATTGGCTAACATATATTTCCTGTCAGCTTGCAGCACATTTTGTACTCTGCTCTCTCTAGTGGTGCAAAGTTGCAGTGTGTACCTATTTGAAATCGAGACGGAGGTACTGAAACAATTATGTGACTTCCTTCTGAAAATACTGGCTGACTGGTGGTCTCTGGCTTCAAAGTTTTCTGGAATTACTTAAGCTGACCATATATTATGCAAATGTTCGCCTGTTTCTTCAACAACTATCCAAAATTCACACAGTCAGTGTTGCTGTGGTCACCTTTTCGGCCGACATCCCTCGATCAGCTGATTGAAGGAGTCGGTCGGAAAATCTTCGAGCAAACAGACCCAGCAGCCAATTAATAAAAAGGAAACAGAGGGGATTCCTTGATCGACGCTCATAAGCGCTCGTATGGCCAGCTTAACTGAGGACAAGCAAGCTGATAAGGAATGTCAGAGGGAAGCAAGAACAATTATCTGCTGGAAATACTTAAACCATTAGATCTACGTGACAACCAACCAACTAGCAATTTATGGGGAGATCATCTTGCAATGGAAAAAAAAAACTGAACTAACCGAACCCATGTTAGGTATATGGGCAGTTGAGTGTAAGCAGAAAAGTGTCCATTTACATCCGACTACCTCCAATTCGCCCCATTCAGGTGCACCAAAAGAAAAATCTGTTTCATCTTTTTTTTTTCTGACTTAAAAAGGACTTGGAGGTAATTGGATGTAAAACCAACACAGGTTTGCTTACAACCTCACGCATCAGGTCCAACTGAAAAACTGACTAATGGCTGTATATCTGCAATGTGTGATCTCTGGCATTGCAGCCTCTACTATAGTGCTGTTGACTGTTCTCCTTGCTGCTGGTTCTGACAAGGAAAAAAAAAAACCCCTACCTTCACCAAGATGGCCACCTCCACACAGAGACAAAGTGCAAAACAAGGCATGGTAAGACAGTACAGGGGAAAAATAAGCTGCAGGGAGACCACAAGTAATGATGTTGACTAGTCATTTGCCCTCGATCTGCTTTTTTTTGGGGGGGGGGGGCAGTTTCCAAAGTTCAGCTCCAAGCAGAGCAGTGGACAAAAATTGGTTCTATATTGAATTGTTCATAAAAAATGTATGCCAACAGTCTTGCACAGTTCAAAGGGCTGAACCACCATTCCTGGAGAAAATGCTGCTCCGGGCTCAATTCGGTAATTGTCACATGTGTGAAGGCCTACGCACTTGATCACATAATCTCTGCTGAAAAGGAGGGGTAGCGAATCTGAATTCTAATCCTCTGCTTTAGCAAAGATCAGGTCACAAAGTTGCATAGGCATTTTATCTCGTGATTAGCCATGGCTATAGCCTGAGAGCTGCATTTCCAGAAATATCTCAACTATTCGATTAGTCTACATCTATCAAAACAAGTCTGGTAGCACAGCTAAGCAATATATACATTAAAAGAGAAAAATAGCTTGCGATAAAACTAGGACTTCATGTTTGAAATAAATCCAATAAACAGGTTATTTCTATCAAAGATCTTCTTGCTCACCTCTATCCATGGGCTAACAAACTGTGTGCGTGCGTATCGAGTCAGCATATGGATTATCACCACTTGTCCCCACTCTTCCACGTCCACCAGCAGATTACACAGTTTACGATAGTTTTTGTGAATCAAATCAATTCTGTCTGGGCAGACTTCTTCAAATGCCATCACAACGCTGCCCGCCACAAGCTGCAAAGCAACAAAGGAAGAGTTAAATATATACTGCTGTAAATATAGATGTTAATATGTGGACATAATGTCAATAAAACAAAGCTAAATGTTCCATTCATTAAAGTACAACTAACTGGGTTTTTTTTTTTATTATTAATTTTTTTTCTCAGAGTTCTTTTTGCAAATGCAATTGTTCACCATGCATATACTTACTAGTAGTGTTCATTGAAGGCTGGGTTTAAATAGATTTTCCACTCACAGTAACAATGTAAAAATTGCTCCACTCTATGGTTCTTGATAAATCAGGAATCAGATTAATTTTTTCTATGTCTAAAGAAGCAACTCCAAGATTATGAAGATCTTAGCGCTGCTTAGACACTTTGTACAACGTGGCTCCCACCACTGAAATGCATAGCAGATGTATATTGAATAAATTAAGTTTAAAGACAGATCATGGACATTTTACCTATTTTATTGTTGTTCCAGTTATGTGAAGCAGCCCCGAAATGTGTTGTTAAATTATAGTGTGTGGATCTTTTGGTAAAAACATCCTTTTGGTATAATATATTTTAAAATAATTTTTTTAAGTGAAATCTGTGCCAAATCTTTGGATATTAAACTATCCTGAACAACAGGTAAAAGAGCTTTAAAACAAACCACCCTGACCCTTTATAGTAGGAATGGTGCAGGGTGTGACAACAACCATGGTTGTTTGCTATTCAGTAACAGGCGAAATAAATAGGCTGCCCGCCCACTGAGGCTAGGGTGCCAACATCCCTGACCCCATTCAGCTGCCAGATGGGCGATTCCCCAGCTGGAGGCAGGAGAATAAAAAAGAAGGGACGGGGAAATGAGCTGATGTAATTGACCAAATATGGCCATTTAAGATCTCCACAAAGACCTAATATTTCAACGCCTGCATTGTGAACTTTTCAAATGAATTTCTTTGCAACGCTTATAGATACAAAAGGTGAATAAGGGCTTGTTTTAAAGTTACTGTACTGCTTTTTCACAATATGTAAATATTTGACAGAGATTCACTCTAAAGTATATGTATAGCCAAAACATTTTCTTTTAGACAGTGAATAGACAAAACCTATGAGGTTATATTTTGCTGCCTTTGTCCCACTGGGGAGTTTTCCGTTCACTTTCTGTCCTGAAGGTGCAATAGGAAATGTGAAGAATTCTCTCTAAAAGGAACAGAATTTCAATTTTTGACAGTTGTCACAGGGATAGGTGTCCCAATTAGAGGATTTCCCCCCCTTGTTTTGTTGACAACTCTAAAATGTAGGATTTATCTTTAGTTTCTGATTTAATGACAGGGAAACAGATAGTCTAATCCAAAAAGCTATATTACCAGCCTGAGGCCTCATCCACAAGACCAAATAGGTCCATGCAATGGATTCTTGTGGCTGGAATCATAGGTGCCTGCGAACAGCTGTGGCTGGTTAGCCTGTAAAAAGCAATGACAGGCTGACATGCATCAGCACATCCTTCAGCTGAGGACAGGTGGCCCGCAATTTGTCTGCATCCAGGGCTGATCATATGTCCCTAGTGGCAGGTAACCGCTGGATGTGCGGATACATGTGAACAGTGGTGGACAGCTGAGGCTCCTGTCAGCCTGCCATTGCTTTGCACAGGCTAAGAGGCCGCAACTGTTCACATACACCTGTAACTCCACCCACATGAATCTGTTGATTCTTGCTGCAGGAACCTGCTGTCTGGACCTATTCCGACATGTTAATGAGGCAAAAAGGAACTCTATTTTCACCCATGAGACTGTAATTTACCAATTGAATTTAACTGACGATATCGGTCACTTTTTAGAACATAAGAATACTTATTCTGGTGTGTTATCTTTGTAAATTGAGCATATTGTGAACTCTTCTCAACTCTAGCAGTACTATCAATACAAAAAAAATTGTGGGTACAGAAGGAAATATTAGAACCCATGTCAATGGAAAGTGAGACTAAATAAAGAAAAACTCCCAACAGCTACAGAGGCAGAAATAACAAAATGCTTTTTTTTCAGTACAGTAAGGCTTAGAATTCGGTTAGCTTTTTAGTGCTGTCTGTGTCCCTGTTCAAAAATGTCCCTCATGTCTTGTCCGGTAAAAAATGCTTTCATTGCAACAGTAAAGGTGCCCATACACCTTCCAACCATCGCAAGACTTTTGTCTTGCGATGGTTGTGAACTAATTAAAAGCTTGTACGATCTGCCCATCTTGGACTGGCAGATCGCACTTGCGATCATCGCAAGCCCGCCCCCCTGAGGGGCAGGCTTCCGATGACTGCAACAAGGGGCGGGCCTCAGATGACTGCAAACGGGCCGTGTGCGCATGCGCACACCGGCCCGTTCGGCAGTTGTCAAACAAGCAGGCCACTAACCCGCCGAGAATCGTACGATTCTCGTCGGGTTTTCAAGCCTGCTTGTTGGACGGTAGACGTGTGAAAGTGAACAGTAGAAACGGTTGTACGCCTTCCATACACTTTGCGATTGTCGTACGATCACGGGATTTCCCCGCTATTCTCGTACGATAATCGTACAGTGTATGGGCACCTTAAGTGACTCTAACAGACCCCCAGATAGCAGTAAAAACATAATTAGCTCATTGCACCTGTGACATATTGTACAAATATAGACAGCATTTTGAAACTCTGGCACCCGTCAGTGTGCTCTATTATGAAATTGTCCGGTTAAAAACAGCATAATAAAAAAGGTACCCAGGTTTTGAGACTCCCAGGGCACTTTGAAAGTCAACTTATATGCATCTACCTGTGGGACCCTCAGTTATGTTCCTGGGGCCAGTTTGTCATAATAATGCATTATATGAATAAAAAAGGAGCAGAAAAGTTTAACGGAGCCCAGCAGGTAAAAAAAAAAAAATCCCTATACCTTTTAAATGGTGGCACAAGTCATACTAAATATGATGTCGCCTATAACGGCACATCCCAAATCTGGATGTTAAATAAAAGCCTAATTTCGTATATATGTTATCACTTTGAATTAACTGTTGATGTAATGAAAATCCATGTCAATCCGCTAAGCATTTTTCTGTAGCACATTGTAACTCTTTAGTTATAAATACAAAACAAAAAGAATGGCAGGTGTGGTACTAACTGTATGTTGCTATTATACTTGTTCAGCCAGGATAAACAATTAAGAGTAAATTACTATGAGAGAACAATATCTGGGGCCCATTGCCAAATGCTGCCTACATGATATTATATTGAAATTTGTCATTATTATAAAATTAGACTTTCGTATATCTTCTACTTTGTGCCTCAACTAAAAGGCATACCACATACATATGTAGCAGAACTAAAACGCACAGTAAAAGTAAAATCAGCAAAAGTAAATGGACAGCCAAAGCTCACAGAACATTTGTTGTGTACTTAGAGTACATGAAAACCCCAGCAATTTACTTATTTTTGTTTCTCCCTTTTCTGTCTGTTAAATATACCATTGAAAGTTTTTTGTCATATCTGTTCAACAAGTGCAAGACTGATGATCCTTTCAGCAATCATGTGAGCTAACATTCCATGCGGCACTCTCATCAGTTACACTGTTTTCAGAACTCTCCGTCGATTACAGAACACCCCCCTATGTTATGGAGAACAGGAGAGAGATGTGTTCTGTAATCCTAATATACTTCCTGTCCTATTTTTGTCCTAATTTTGCTTCTACATAGATGAAGCACAGTAGGTGAGTGTTGTCACTCTAGGAAAGGAGTAGTTGCTGGAAGGATCACTAGATGAAAAGAATAAGAAGTCTGAAAGAATTAAACTAATGCAGCCACCACAGCTAAGGAATGTTAAGCTGGAATATATTACATTATAGTTCTTAGACCTTTAAATACACTAGAACAAATCTCTCACCCATCACAACTGACTAGAGGTGCACCGAAATGAAAAAAAAAAAATGTCAGGTTGAAACCGGAAAAAATTTTTATTGTAACTTTTTCAAAAAAAATGTATATTTTATTTTTTATAAACTTTTTATTTTTTTTATATTTTATCTATTCATTAATTTTTATTAAATATTTTTATTTTTTTACTTTACTTTTAGGGGCTTCGGGGAAATATTGGGGGTCTAAACAGACCCATGATATTTCCCTTTTAAAATAGAAAGAGTTTGAGGACAGAGCATCAATCTCTTTTTCTGCAGCCCCTGTTATAAATGAACAGGAATCCTTCCAGACATGCTGTTGTAGGGTTAGGGTCTCCGCCCACACCGCTCTCCTCTGATCTGTGACAGGAGGATGAGCAGTGCGGGGAGGAGAGACGCCGGCCGCTCACAGCGCTCTCCTCCCTCAGCGCTCGGCCGCCTGTGACAGTTTCTCTCCTCCCCGCTGGGACACAGAGCAGCACCCAGCAGGAAGGAGAGAAGAATGGATGCACCACTACATCGGCCAGAAAATGGCACTTTCGGCATTTAGCCAAAAGTGCAATTCTCGGGCCAATACGTTTCGGCGGCCGATATATAGGTGCATCCCTTAAACGAACTAATCAGAAAGTAAATGAGTAGTTGCTACAAGAAACACATGAACTTCAAAGCACAAATTCAAGAAGTCATGAATCAGTGCAGTGTAAACTACAATTGATTTTTGTTGGAAAGGGGCTTTAAAAATGTGTGTAGATCTTGGAGGTCAAGACTCACCGATACAAACCTCTCCCAAATGCTATTGTATCTCAGGCTCTACTCCTCCTGAGCAGAGCAGTTCTATGCTACTGAACATACCTAAGCCAGACCGAACCAGATACATTGCAGTATATTTATTTAATGTATACATAAGGTTCAAGTTGTCCAAGTATTTCGTAGTGTGCGCAATGGTTTAAATGCCTGTCAGGTATTTAATGCTGTATGCGTTTCCGCTGGGGGGACTGACTCACCCCCTGTATTTGCCCAAGTGACCAATGTTACCTACCCAGAAAGGGAAGGGAAACCCAACATTTTACAGTAGTCACCAGAAAAGGAGCAAGGTGGAAATATTCCAAATGGGACACCTGTGATGTTA